GGAAGGGTCCAGGACAGACCCCACCAGTGTGCCCGACAGCCTTCCGCAAGGAGCGAAGGCCGTCTAGTGGGTAGAGGCAAAGCCAACCCTTCAGCAGATGGTACTGGATGCCCACGTGCAAAAAGGAAACAAGCCAGACCCGATGTCACCAGCCCCGACTGAGGCTGGGTGTGGCTCGGTGGCACAGCACAGTGCAGCCAGTGTTCACCACCAGCACCACAAAGAAAGTAGAAAGAGAGGGAAATTAGGAAGGAGTTTGAGTTTGAAGAACACAAACATGCAGTGTGTCACACATGGGAGGGAGGGAACCAAAACAGCGCCTAGGAATTGATATCGGGGACACCGACCTCAGAGAGAAAGGAGACGGGGACGAGGGAAGCACCCGCAGGCCACCCTGTGAGACTCAAAGTAGGCAGAAGGAAGGAGCACTGGACCTGCAGGACTCGGGGGAACAGGAGAAAAGCAACAGGAAGCTTACAAAACTAACCTGACTCTTGGAGAATATAAATAAAATCCACAAACCTGTAGCCAAAGCGATGAGAAAACGAAGAGAGAAAAGACATGAAATATTTGATCAGCAACAAGAGAGATGACATCCCCACACCAACGGACACTGAAAGGATAAGACGATGTTAAGAATCTTAGCTGTTGGGGCTGGGGATGTGGCTCAAGTGGTAGTGCGCTCGCCTGGCATGCATGCGGCCCGGGTTCGATCCTCAGCACCACATACCAACAAAGATGTTGTGTCCGCCGAGAACTGAAAAATAAATATTAAAAAAATCTCTTTAAAAAAAAAAAAGGATCTTAGCTGAAACAGATAAGCTCTTTTAAAGAAAGCGCCGTCCAGAGCCTAGGCAAAGAGACAAGCAGATGGCCCTACGGCTGGAAAAGGAAATGGATTCCTTCATGGGAAAAAGGACACAGATGGAAGACCCTACATAAATATCATACAATGCAACACTGAGGAAGAGCACAGGCAGTATTGTCCCAGAGGCTCCTGCCAGCCAACAGGTAAGAGGGGAAATCGGGTATTCCAACTAGGTTAGAAAAGGAAAAAGAAAAAAAAAAGATTTTTTTCCATAGGTGACACGGTTGTACAACTAGAAAATCTGCTGGAATCTACTAGAAATCTTCTGGAATTTTTGAGTTTATCCAGTTTACAGGAAGAAAGATCAACACAGAAAAATAAATTGCATTTTCAAATCCTTACATCAAATAATTGAAATATTTATTATAAAATAAGAAATGGTTAGGGATCCATATGATAAAAGGTGTTTAGGATCTGTACACAGAAGAGAAACATTACTTTTACTCTCAGAAAACACCACTGAGAGAAATCAAAGCCTTAAATAGATGGAAGATTTGTTAAGACAACAGTTTTCCTTGCAGAAAAATTAAATCCATCACTTCAATGCAGTCTCAATCAAAATTCCGGCAGCATTTTTGTAGAATTGAAAAGCAGATCCTGAAATGTGCATGGAAATGCTGAGGACCTGGAAGAGCCCAAGCAATTTTGGAGGACGAGGCTGAAAGATGAGCACCCGACTCAGTCGCTGCAGAGCCACAGTGATGGGGCTGTGGGGTCTGGGGGAGCAGATCAACACATGAGTACAGGGAGTGAAGGAATGCACCCTGGTGTACGTGAACCACGGTAAAGAGAATTCAGTGGAGAAAGGAGTCTTTCCATTAAATTAGGCTGGGACAATGATAGAGCCACACTCAGAACAAATGCCAACCCCCTGTCACCATGTAAGCAAATTAACTCAAAATGGATCACAGACCTCATGCAGGACAGGAAACAGTAAGACTTCCAGAAGGAAAGGTGATGACCCACTTAGGCAGCCGTCTCTAGATGGGATGACAGGACCCCACTCCACAAGAGAAACGAGACAGCAAGTGGACCTTCATCAGGCTCAAGCGCTGCCCTTGAAGAGGTACAGTGAGGAGGGTGGAAGGCAGGAAGGGCACTCATGGACAGTGATGGGAAGTGGAGGGGCCAGGCCCACAAGGGGCACAAAGAAACCCCAGGGGAGGGGAAGGTGTCCTTGCTCTGGCTACGGTTATGGTTCCACAGTTGGGGACATGTCAGAACTTATCAAACTGCTCTGTTCAGTAAGTTCACACTGTACACCAATGGCACCTCAGGGGAAGGAGCAGCGAGAAAGTGGCCTCTTTCAGGGAAGGGGACAGCTGGGGAGGGGCAGGGCAGGAATGGGGAGGGGAAAGCATGTTGTAAGTGACCCAAGAAGCTTCCCCGGGGGGTTGGAAGGATCAAAAACCCTCTGTGGAACAAGGCAGAGTATTAAAAATAAGAACACATCCAATTTGGGCAAAGAAAGGGAGGTGGTGAATCGAACTGTTTCTGGGCCTGAAGGTTACCAGATTTTTTTCTTAATCGTCCTAAGGAGAAGCGCGAGGGCCGGAGCTGCCCGTCCCAGAAGGCAGAGCAGGGCACGTTCCCCAGCGCCTCCACACTCAGCCCAGCTTCAACGCCCCTGCAGCTGCGCGCTCCAAGCTGCACACAACGGGAAGCCTCGGCCCAGCTAAGGACACAGCGCCCAGCGTGTGCAGGAAGCTGGCATGGCACCTGTCCCCGTGCCCCATGGCTCCACTGGTTCTCTGCTGTCAATGGACGGTCAACCTGAGTCCTCGGCTGACGTTCAGATCTACCCAGGGCCATTTGCCTCTTCGCATTCAAAGCCCAGCCTCACACTGCCAGGCCAAGAGAGGCTGGAAAGCCAGGCCCAGGGGTCTTCAGGAGCAGTGCCACTGCTAAAGAGCATCCACAGATACACGGACACTCCAGCTCTCTGACTCCTTAAAGTGCACTTTAAATGCTTGAGCCGTCGGAGATTCCAAGTAAAACTGCAGTTTGATCCTTTCTTGGAGTGCCATTTGAGGCTCCACCTGAAATGTGAGCCACAGGCAAAAGTGGAGAAAGCAGGTGGGATGGACGATCACCCTAACCTTGAATATCCAGAGCCGTCAGAGGCCCCTAGAAAGCCGAGTGTGCAGGAACCTCTGCCCTTGACAACAGCACATGCTTGTCTTTGCACTTTCAACCATTTTGTTGGATAACAAAAAGGGTTGGGTTGTTTATGCAACCTAAAAATGGGCACAAACCTTAAATGAAGTTCCCAGGAAGATGGACCAATGGCCACTGAGCCCAGGACAAGATGCTCCTGGTCAAGAGTCAGTGGGATGCAAACTAAAATCACCACGAGCTGCCCCTTTCCAGACCAGACCTGCTGTGACCAGGAGAACTGAAGCCAGGGGGCACGGGCAGCACCCAGGAAAATGGCCCTGCAGCCTGGCAACAGGATCTCAGGGGCAGCCCCCGTGGGGGACACTACATGGTTTCATGAGAACACATGGTTCCCGTGGTTCCAGTCCTCAGAGCCCACCCTGCAGGGCTGAGAGTGGACATAAAGGTGTGCACACTCCCACAGCCATTGCAGAAAAGCTCACAGCAACGCAAAGGTGGAAACAGACCATGACCTTGAATAGATGGTGGATGGCCAGCATGGGCTGCAGCCACACAGGGAATGCTATGCTGCCATAAAAAGGGATAACGTCCTGATTCTTGTTATAGCAGGACAGACCTTGAAAACAACCACTAAGAGAAATAAGCCAGTCACAAAAAGACAACTACGGGATTCCACCTACATGAAATGTCCAGAGCAGGCAGATTCATAGAGAAAGAATGTGGACTAGAAGTTACCAGGAGTGGGAGAGGGAAGAAGGGGGTTACTGCTTCATAAGCAGAGTTGTTTGGGGTGAGGGAAGAATTAGAAATAGAGGTGATGCTGCTCAGCACTGGAATGTGATCTACATCATGGGCTGTACACTGGAAATGCTTAATATCTCAAGTCTCGTTATACATTTTATCTCAATTCAAAAACAGCCAAATAATATAGGCATTCTAAATAACTGGCTCTCAGGAAAACGATGTATTCACTCACTGTCCACTCGACCAGGGGGGGGGAAAGGCCCTTGTGCACAGAGACCACCGGAGGCACAGGGGCGCAACCTTGGAAGACACAGGATGGCACAAATGAGCACAGGGCCAGAGCCATGATGAGCGAGAGCCATAACGCCATAACCTGCCAACTGCCCTGAGACGGACACCCAGACGGCCACAGTACCAGCAGCTTCGATGCCCTCCACGTACTTCTCAGGCAAACATCCTGCAGGTGACACCCCCATTCAGAGGCTACATGTGCCCTGCAGGCCCCAACACCCGGACTTCCCCGGGTCCACCTGCTGGGTCCACCTGCTGGGTCCACCTGCTGGGTCCACCTGCTAGGTCCAGGCAGGAGACCAGGTGGCTGGCTTGCCAGGGCTGCCACAACAAAGTCACATGGAGCCAGTGGCTTCCGCATCAGCAATGTGACTTCCTGTGCTCACTGTGGCAGTACGTACGATACAGAGAAGATGAGCATGGCCTCTGCGCAGGGATGGTCTGCAGATTCTGAAGCGCCCCATGCTGTTTCTCACGCGGGTCAGAATGGTGGCTATCAACAGACAACAGTAAGTGTCGGTGAGGACGTGGGGGAACGGGCCAGAGGAGCCTGCACCGGGACCTGCCTGAGAGTCCTCCCCACTGTCCTAGCCCTGGCCTTGCTTCTGGGCTCTGGCTACCACCAAGTTCTGGTGTGCACCACGTTCCCAGGCACACAGCTGTCCTCCCCTTGGCACCAGAGTGGACTTCAGCTTGCTTCTCTCAAATGACCTCTGGGATGGAATTCTTTTTGCCCTAAGTGTTGTTTTTAAGAAACAGGATGACACAAAATTGGACTAGTATCATACTGGTGCATGGCCTTGGTGTCACTCAAGTCCCTGGACAAAGGGCAGCGTCCACAATGCTGGGACAGGAGCAGCAGGACTCCACTCCACAAGCAACAGGGTGCATGGTAGGGTGAGGACCCTCCAGGGGCCAGATTCAGTGCTCTGCAGCACTGAGAGTCAGGACTCAACCCAGCCCTCCCCAAGGAATGACAGGCAGCCATGCAATCAGGCCTGTCCCCTCCTGCTCAGAGCCAGGGCACGGAGGCAGACGCCCCAGGCTGAAGACCTATCACATAGAGAGTGGCCAGCTGCCCTCTCCCCCACAACTGCTCCAGGTTTCCCTGCAGTGGTAAGCAGGGGCTCAGCATGACCGCTGTACATTTGAGAGGAAAGACTTCTCAAAAAGTCTGTGTTTGTAAACAGACACCTTTTATCTAAAGTTATTCTTTATATGAAAAAATCTCTGTTTTCTCTCCAGGTGCATATGACAGCACTGCTCCCACCGCAGCCTACTGAGCAAGTTTCTCAGAAGGGTACCGAAGTCTGCGGCGTCCATACACAGGACTGGGGCTGGCTGGTCACGAACTCAGGGACTTAGAATAGGCTTCTAGAAAGTGCTCGGCATGGCTCCTTTGCCAAGCAAGGCAGTCCCATGCCTCAGGAGCTCTGGGGCAACCAGGGACAACATAGCAGCATTAATTGTCACAGACAACAGTGAGGCAGGGCCAGAGCAGAGGGTCCTGGGGATGAGGGTGAGGTGTGGGGTCTCTGCAGTCAAGATGCTGTCCCACCTGGCCTGTAGGTGGCAGGAGCAATAGCTTGGCCTCCAGGACCTGGGTCTCCCCATAGAAAGCAGAAGAGGCTGGGGCGGTGCTCAGTGCTAGAAGCCCTGGGTTCCACCCCAGCTGCACAAAGCCATGCCAGGGAGGAGCATGGAGTGGAGCCCAGGGAAGTCCTCAGCACTCGCAGCCTCTGTCCCCTCAGCCTGGGACAGCCAGGTGACAATTCCTGGAAGCAATGGTGCCCAGTTTGTGTAAGAGGGGTAGAGTATGATGCCCAAACCACCAGGCAAAGTCCCCACAGCACCCCCAGTCTCCCAGCACAGGCTCCAGGGAAGTTCCTGCTCCTCCCCCACTGGACGGCAGGGACCTTGGATGTCTCTGCACCCTTTGCCCAGAGCCTGGCAGCGGGCTTGGCATGTGGCACTCAGTGAGAGAGAACCAGCCCCTCCAGGCGCTCAGAGTCATGGGTCCTGGCACGCCCGTCGCTTCCTTTGTTTCTACACCGAACCCAATGGCTGGGATGGGCATCACTGATCATGAATACAATTCTACAGATCACAGAAATTCAGGCCCAGAGAGGGTGCGTCAGCCCCAGAGCCCATCCAATCTGAACCAAGCCACGTGAAGCCAAGACCCCGGCCCTCCTGCTCCAGCTCAAGCACCTGGCTCTGGTGCCCAAGCCATCTTGGGGTGGAACTCACACTGACATAAGGAGAGAAGCTGCTCTGCTGGCAGCAGGGCCTCTCGGTGGCAACGTCATAAAGAAGAAACCGGCTGGCTGCAGCCAGTGGACATCTTCAACCAGCCTCCCCACCGCATCCTGGAACTTAGGGGCCGCAGGGCCCGGGGCTCAGACCAGAGAGCAGAGGCATGAATCACTGCCCAGAGGAGATGGTGCTGCAGAGTGGCAACTGGGCCTGCCGAGGCCTGGTGCCCAGTGTGGATCCAGAAAACATAGATGGACTGGACTGGTGACAAGCTGCCTGCCTGATGGGCAAGGTGGGCCAGAGAGGAGGAGCGCGGAGGAGAGGCTGGAGAGAGGCTGCAGCAGCCCGCAGTGGGCTGAGAAAAAGAAAGAAGAGACTCGGCGGAGGGAGAAAAAAGGCAGGCCTGTGTGGAGTCGGTGTCCTCCGCTGCTGACCTCAGCCTGCAAGGTAAGCTGGAGAGGATGATTACTACAGTTCCAATCACTGAATGCTGTCAAGTGACCACTTGTCATTGCCAGGTCCCTGCCACATGTGTGCACTTGTGTTCTCACACATACACTCCTGCATTTGATATCCAAAAATACCACTGATGATGGAGCAAAGCTTCAACAGATAGAATTTAAAAACAAAGGTCTCTCGAGTCCCAGGGAGTCCTGACCACAGGGAGGACATGCTAGCCTGCCCTCTGCTTGGAAGCCAGGGCATCTACTACCATCATTTGCAACGGCGCACAGGAGCGAATGCCTTTGTTCAAAAAAGAGCAGCCAGGTCTCTCCTGCACCCTGAGCTGTCCGCAGGCTGATTGCTCAGGGCTCCCAGCGACTCCTGTCTCTGTTGTGCCCGGACCTGCTTCTTGACTCACCGCCCCCCTGGGGGTGCACTCCAGCCTAACCACAGATGTCCTCCGACGCTGCGGGTCCAATAAAGAGACAGGGCTTTGAGGTCAAAGGACCTGGTGTCCTAGCACCCTGGCAAGTCCGTCAACACCAGACACTCTTGATCTGTGAATAAGAGACCATGACCCTGTTCCCCGGACTCAGAGAGGCTCAAATGTAAAAAGTAGGAAAAATTTAAAGGTTGATTCAGGAGTCCCTGCGAGGATGGCCACGTCGGTAATCACCCAGCCCATCTCAACCTCCCAGTGAGGCTGGGGGAGGGCAC